TACTCGCAATAGTGCCCTTAGGTACCATATAATAGCACGACAATCTTCCACATACATATCATATTCTCTTCTATCACGTCAAATATCCAGCTTTCATACGAATCGTCTAGTAACATCTCTCCCTTCAACCCACGTTCGCCGCCTCACAACTTCAATACCAAGAAGAAAAGATCGTGCACCTGACGATGGGCCCAATCCTATACCTGTCAGAAAAGAGGACAAGAACCAGCCAGAAGAACAGAAGGGAACAGATCAGGCAGAGGGCAATGTTGAAGAATCGTCGGAAGCAAGGAAAGGACAAGAATCTTCCGGCACGTCTAGCACGACTCTTAGTGATGCAAAAGGCAGCAGTGGTGCGGGGAGTGGTGGTGAATCTGGCTCCGGGGGCGGAGATGGTAGCAAACCAGGTGGAAAGAAGACATCTACAGAGCGAGCAATCCAGAAACCCAGCGTTCCAGATATTTATCCCCAAGTGATGGCTATACCCATAGCCCAAAGGCCATTGTTTCCAGGATTCTACAAAGCTCTTACTGTCCGAGACCGGAATGTTGCAGCTGCTATCCAAGAGGCATTTCGGCGGGGGCAGCCATACGTTGGTGTTTTTTTGTCCAAGGACGAGACTGCAGACAAGGACATAATAGAGAATAGGGAAGATGTACACGACATCGGAGTCTTTGCACAAATTACCAGTGCGTTCCCTGTTAATGGAGAGACCGACAGTCTTACGGTCGTCCTCTATCCTCACCGGAGAATCAGGATGTCAAAGTTGATCCCCCCAAGGCCTGCGAGCGTGCCGGCTGGTCCTGTGGCCATAGACCTAAAGGATGTCAAGGACCCATCGTCGAAGGAGCAAGGCTCGTCGGAGAAATCAGGCGATGTGGTTGCGAGTTTTGAGGAATCGAGTACACCTCCACAGTCTAAAGAAGTCCAGCCATACGAGCCGACGTCTTTCCTCCGTGATTATCGCGTCAGCATGGTCGATGTTGATAACATACCGGAACAGAAGTATGATGCGAAAAGCCCTGTATTGAGAGCTGTGACCAGCGAGATTGTCAGTGTGTTTAGGGAGGTGGCGCAACTCAACCACCTCTTCAGGGATCAGATCTCCACATTTGCCTTGACTCAATCTGCCGGGAACGTTCACGAGGATCCAGCGAAGTTGGCGGACTTTGCTGGAGCGGTGTCGACGGGCGAAGTCCGAGAACTACAAGACGTGCTGGAGACCATGAATATTGAGGAGCGGCTGCAGAAAGCTTTGATGGTATTGAAAAAGGAGTTGATGAACGCGCAACTCCAAAGCAAGATCTCGAAAGATGTAGAGAACAAGATACAGAAGCGGCAAAGAGAGTATTGGCTTATGGAGCAAATGAAAGGAATTCGTCGAGAGCTGGGTATCGAATCAGATGGCAAAGAGAAAATGGTCGAGAAATTCAGAGAGAAGGGCAGTAAGCTGGCAATGCCAGAAGCAGTCAAGAAAGTTTTCGATGAAGAGTTGAGCAAGCTGGCTCATCTAGAACCCGCGGCATCAGAGTTTAATGTCACTAGAAACTATCTGGACTGGCTGACCCAGATACCTTGGGGCCAACAGAGCGCCGAAAACTTTGGTATCAAGAACGCAATGACGGTACTGGATGAGGATCATCATGGATTAAAGGACGTAAAGGACCGTATTCTCGAATTCATTGCCGTAGGCAAGCTCAAAGGTACCGTCGAAGGCAAGATTTTATGCCTCGTTGGGCCTCCGGGAGTTGGGAAAACCAGTGTGGGAAAGTCAATTGCTCGAGCGCTGAATCGGCAATACTACCGATTCAGTGTTGGAGGTCTCACAGACGTCGCTGAAATCAAGGGTCATCGACGGACATATGTCGGCGCGCTCCCAGGTCGCATCATTCAAGCACTCAAAAAATGTCAAACAGAAAACCCTCTGATTCTTATTGACGAGGTTGATAAGATTGGCAGAGATCATCGAGGCGATCCTTCTTCTGCTCTACTTGAGCTACTGGATCCAGAGCAGAACAACTCTTTCCTCGACCACTACATGGACGTCCCTGTCGATCTCTCCAAAGTCCTCTTTGTGTGTACTGCTAATATGACGGACACGATACCACGACCGCTGCTTGACAGGATGGAGCTGATCGAATTGTCCGGGTACGTCGCTGATGAGAAGATGGCGATCGCAGAAAGGTTCTTGGCTCCAGCTGCCAAAGACTTGAGCGGTCTCAAGGACGTGGATGTAGCGTTGAACAAAGACGCCATCGAGGAGCTTATCAACAAGTATTGCCGCGAAAGTGGAGTACGCAATCTGAAGAAGCAGATTGAGAAGGTCTATCGCAAGTCAGCGCTGAACATCATCCAAGACCTTGGTGAGGATGTCTTCTCAGAAGACAAGGGATTGACAGAAGAAGGCAAAGCTGCCCAAGCAGAGTCGAAGAAGGATGAATCTGACGTCAAAGAGACCCCGGGGGCCATCGAGAAAGAGACAACCCCTACACCTCGGAAGCAGATGAAGGTACCAGACGGTGTCCACGTGAGCATTGACCGCCAGAATCTCAAGGACTACGTTGGTCCTCCTGTCTTCACATCCGATCGGCTCTACGAAACAACGCCGTCAGGTGTGGCAATGGGGCTCGCTTGGACTAGTATGGGCGGTGCCGCCTTGTACGTTGAATCAATCCTGGAGAATGCCCTAAATGCTGCGTCACGACCGGGTCTAGAGCGAACGGGAAATCTGAAGAACGTCATGAAGGAGTCTACGGTCATTGCCTACTCGTTCGCCAAATCTGTGCTGGCGAGGCTGTTTCCCGAGAACAAATTCTTCGAGAAAGCCAAAGTTCATTTACACTGCCCCGAAGGCGCTGTCCAGAAAGACGGGCCGTCTGCTGGTATCACGATGGCGACATCACTGCTATCGCTCGCATTGGACAAGCCGCTGGACCCTACGATAGCAATGACCGGCGAATTGACCGTTACAGGCAAGGTTTTGCGTATTGGAGGGTTGCGAGAGAAAACAGTGGCCGCTCGACGCGCTGGGGCGAAGACGATCATCTTCCCCGCCGACAATACGTCCGACTGGCTGGAGTTGCCTCAGGTGAGTACAAAGCTAACAAGTATCACTCCGCGTGGGCAAGTGCTGACATCCTTTGACTAGAACATCAAAGAAGGTATCGAAGGCCACGCCGCTAGTTGGTACGCCGACGTTTTTGACCTTGTCTTCCCCAATCTCGACTCCAAGAGAGCCAACGATATTTGGAAAGAGCAATTAGCAAAGCCGCAAAAGGAGAGCAACAAGCCAGAGGAGGATGAGTAAAAGGGGAAGCCTTTTTCGAGTATCGAGCTCGGAGTCCGGTCTGGATGGTTAGCTTGGGCACAGCATTGTAGCATTCCATGGCGTTGGGCAGCTCTACAGCTACTGCATTGGCATTGGGTATGGGAAGATGAGTTCGAAAGAGGATCATGGTGCCATGATTGTTTAGCGTAGATACGTAATGACTCCGCTCCTGTATAGATGTACATAATTGGAGAGATTCATAGCTATGCGAGCATTGCATTATACCTTGAACTCCCAAGAATTGTACCATCTAATCTTCTAGACGCTAGCTCGTGCTCGCCTACTTTCATGTAAGCTTGCGCAGCGGAAGCTGTGGAAGGTAGCGACCGTTTGCCCAAGTATTGTGTGCATCCGATAGGTACTCAGACCCTGTCGAGTTCGCTTCACCATGTTTTCCGTCCCCCTGCAGCACTCGTACATTCGCCTCCAAACCAGCAGCAGAAATGACCGCTCGGTCCCCTCCCATCGCTTTTGCGAATCCCCATACACTTAAGAAGCTAGGACCAACAGTGTCTCATAGTTCGACATAGACGACTTATGCAGCCTAAGCGACGGCCCGCCAGTGAGGAAAGGCGGAAGGCACATGGGACCATGGTTGAGCTTTTCATCTCTTGTGATGTCCCTGAACTCAAATTGCCCTAGGCACGAGCAGTGACGGCAGCAGGAGACAGGAGAAAGGATAGGTACCTAGACGAAGAGCTCGCGGAAGAGTCAACAATTCAATTGGGGCTGTTGTGGATTATGTACTGCCACGTCACAAAGCAAAGTCAATTCGCTGGGAAGCTACTGTACGCTGAGTTCTAGCTACTGCACGATGCCGCGGAAGTGACGGGGCGAGATGGGCTCACAGACAATGAATGCCCCATTGCCCAATATTAATTGCGCAGCAAAGTGAGGCCCGACTATCGAACCAATGGACCAGGTTAGTATCCATGCAACAGAGCGATTGCGGACTATGACGTGAATATCATCATTGAAAGCGGCAAAGGGGAAGGAAATCAGGACGGCCGTTTCCACGAGATACTTCGAGGGGGTTCGCGGAGTTGATTTTGAGTGGTAGTGATGTTTTGGGTTATAACGGCGCAAGACCAATACGAAGCTGACAGGATCTGTGAGGCGGTGAGATAGGAGTGTGCCCAGGCAGACAGACTATAAACGTAGTTTCTCATGAATGAATGAATGAATGAGTGTCAAGAATCATACTGTAACTGCAAAACAAACTGTGACTGCCTAAGTTTCAAAGCGCCAGGGCCACAGGGCGCAGGAGTCAATCTCATGCAGAGCCTAAAAGGTACTCCGTACCTCTTCTTGGTAACTTAGGTTCAAGCTCTAAGTACGAAATCCACTAGCTTCGACCCCCCTCGGGCAGCTAATCCGTATTGCTCTCCTGCACAGAGCCTACAAGTAACAACGCGACCCTATCATATCAATGATACATCCCTATTCCTTCCAAGCTCAGGGCGACGAATAAGAAATCCTTGAATCATATACCGACTACACATTTGATTTATACCTCTTGATCTCTTCCGAATTGCTTTTCCCATATGCTTAAATGACTGCCCGGATATCCTCGCATTCATCTTGCATGGACCCACGACAAGCCTGCAGTATCACGATCACAGATGATTGGTGACTCCATACACAGCCCCCCAGTACTACTTCATTCATGCCAATGGCGGTAGCAATGACAGAGCTGCCCACTCATCCCGAGCAATTCGACGCCGAGCCTGAAAATCAGACGGACAAGGTCGAGCAGAGGCGGCGGTTAAGAGACTTTCTCAATTTTCGGAAATGGTCCAAGTCGGAGGAAACGCCGTGTCCGGATCCCAAACAGCATACACCACCTCAAACGCCTGCGAGACCAGGAGTTGGGCGACGCTTTTCCCGTAAAGGCTTTGTGGGCTTGCCGCGCTCAACAACCTTCAAAAGGCAGGAGGAAGAACAGCGAAAAAATCTGATGCCCGTCCAACCGACCATTAAGGAACGCCGTGATGTTTCAAAGGTCCGTCAGAGAGCTCTGAGTGCGGTTCCTGATCCGCCACGTCAGGCAAGAAGGGAGCGATCAGTGCCCCCAGACCTTCGCGATGCCTTCGCATCGATTGACGAACGCCTTGGTCTAAACACATCAATTCAACTCTCACAACAACCGGGGGAGCAGGTCCCTCCTCCACCACCACCACCACCACCACCTCCGCCGCAGTCTCCACCTGACTTCCAGGAAGACGAAGCCCCCATGTCAGAAGTATCCTACGACGACGCGGTCGACGAAGAACTCGCCGAGGAGCTGAAGAAGAAATGGATCCTCAACCTGAGCATGCATTTCCGGGATAAAACACCACGAGAGAAATTCTTCATCACATACGCCGAAACACCTGATCGATGGAGACGAGTGACGGTTTCGTGCGACTATCGAGACGCGCCGCCGGATTCTCTCGAGGCAGATCTCCAGAGTCTCCATTACCAGAAGGACAAGAGTGCCCGGGTCTACGAGTCGATACGTATGTCACTGCCAGATATCCAATTCTACGAAACTGTCACAAACCTCAAGCTTGAAACGAAGGATGAAAGGCTACATGTACATGTCACCGAAGATGTTAACGAAATCATCCCGTATCCGGCCGTACATCTGGTGAAGCATCTCTCATGCCGTCAATACAGAGAAAGCGAGCTGCATTTCGATGAACACATGTCCGGTTTCGTCTACAGAGTCAACGTGGGCGAGCATACATGGATCAAGAAAGAGATACCGGGTCCAGACAGTGTGGACGAGTTCTTGTACGAGGTCAATGCTCTGAGCGAGCTTGTGGATGCGAAGAATGTCATACAGCTCAAAGGACTGGTGGTCAATGAGGACAAGAGCCTGATCAAGGGGCTGTTACTTAGCTATGCCGACCGAGGTGCCCTCATTGACATTCTCTACGATAGCAAGGAAGGCCACATCCCTCGCATCCCATGGGAAAGGCGAGAATTATGGGCAAAGCAGATTGTTCAGGGACTCTCCAACATCCACGAAGCTGGCTTCGTGCAGGGAGATTTCACACTTTCGAACATCGTAATCGACGAGAACGATGAAGCTCAGATAATCGACATCAACCGTCGAGGATGTCCCGTGGGCTGGGAGTCTCCGGAGATGGTACCACTTGTGGAGAGCGGACAAAGGCTGTCAATGTACATTGGGGTGAAGTCCGATCTCTATCAGCTGGGCATGGTGCTGTGGGCCTTGGCAATGGAAAAAGATGAGCCGGAGCGACAGCCCCGACCTTTGACCCTGGACGATGCCGAACCTAATGTCCCCAATCACTTCCGAGATCTGGCATTAACATGTCTCGCGGCGAAATCAAAGCAGAGGCTGGCAGCCAGGGACCTTCTTGCTCTTTTCGACGCTCCGGGGATGGTCGAAGAGTACTTGCCAGTTTCGTCAAAGGAAACTCATGCGCTGGTCCCAAACTCTGAACACTGGGACGGCTCGTCCACCGTACAAGCTGAGGGTGCCGACATCATAGGGGAGAGTTTCCGAGAAAGGCAGAGTCGATATCAACAGGAGGACCGGGAACTAACATCTAGCGCATCACGGTTGGAACGCTCCTCCAGAAATCGCTCCCGAGATCAAGAGATCGACGAGAGCAAAATCTTCCGTGGTAGACGGTACTCTCCTGCTCGGATTGACCGTGCCGGTATTCCCCTCGATGGATCGCCCTCCCTGAGCATCAGTCACACACCTCTTCAGCCTTTGAAGAGGAGCCTACGCCAACCCTCGTATGCATCCGACAACATATCTCCTGGCCAAAGCGAAAGTGGTGAAGCACAAATCATCCCCATCTCCCCAACGGGCGATCGCGAGTGGGAAGAGATCAACATGGACGGTACACCTTACCTAGTCCATCGCGACACGCTTGACGATTTCGACGACGAGATCGACTTTGCGAATTTAGATAACGCTCGAAGGGGGAAAAATGTGGAGAGGTGGAGACGCGATATTGAGCATGTGGATTCGGGACTTGCGGATATGGATTTGACGGACACGGGGCCTAGGGAGCGGGCTCGCATGGAGTTGGCCGGGGTGGGTGGGCATGAGAGTCTGACTATTGACAAGCCGGGAATAGGGGGAGGAAAGCACGGGGACATGACACACGACCTCGGAATAGAGTATAACGACCCCAGAGTTGAGCAATCAGCAACACCAAGCGAAGGACGAAACGGCCCAGGGTAGCACAGATGACCTGAGATATACGGCACGACGCATAGAGGACAACGACAGCAATGGGACTACGATGCGATGACTTGTAATATGCATTGAGCATTGTGGCCTTACTTTAACAGCGGTCCTTCTTTCTTACGTTCAACCTTGAAAAAGAGCGTGTCTTCATTATCTCGAGCGGACAAGCGGAGCGTATCTCGAGGCATTTCATTATATCAGCATTCCTCAGCATACGGTAGGTCGCATTTCAAAGGTGGATGATTTTCATAGTCTCCAGGACGAGCGTCTCGCTGATGTGGCACGATTACGACTTCTCATTCTTCCGACCTGTGACTTTCCATTCTTCCTGTAGCTGGTTTAATGACCTTGAAGTGTGTATTATATACCAATCACGGTGTTTGGATGACGGAGAACATATTCCACCCTCTCCCTCTGGAAGCTCGCACGTAGGGCGTACGTATCTCGCCATTTCCTTGCTCATACCCACTGTGCTCCGTGGACCAGAACAGAGTAAACAACAACGTCGGAACAACCGGCGAGGATAGCCGTTTCGTTCGCGCTGCAGAGACTGTATTAGTCCCGCGGTCGCTGTCGTCATAGGTAGGTCAGATAATCTTTGGAGCTATGACCGCATACTCTCTACCACTTACTCTATTATAGTCTCAGTAATTCAGACTCGCTTAGCGGGGTACCCTATAGCCAGCCCTACACTCGTTCCTCGCTTCGGGGACCAATTATATCGCAAGCTTATTACGGTATATCCCCCTCTAGAGTCTAAGTAGAAAACCCTAGAATCGCTATATTAGCCGTTATTTTGTATAAAACACCCGCAATAATTAATCGAAATACGAAATTCGCGACTTTCAACGATTTTTCCACGACCACCACATCATTCTTTAAAGTTAATCGCGGGGGGAATAAATCTATCGAGGTTATTAATTAAGTATTTAAGCCTTTTATTAGAATTAAATAACTTATTATTATCATATAAGCTAATCCGAGATCGCGATCTCCGCTAACGCTTATAGCACTCATCTTTAATTAATTAATCTTTATTAAAAAAACCTTAGATGATAGTATATCGTCTTTAACACTATTAGAAGATTATATTACAAATCGAATTAAGAAATCTCTAAAGTAGATTTATTATATTACTCTTAATTAGAAAGTCGAACACTTAAGATACTCTCTTTATAGAAATATATATTAACTCGAATACGCTTCACTTAAGAGTTAAGGGAATTATAGTATATATATCTTAAATAATATTAACGCGATTAGCGCGCTTAGAAACAAGCTCGTATAAATATAAAATATATTAGAGATATTTAGATATCTAACTTTCTCATAGCGACGACGGTGAGATATCTTCGAACTATAAATATTAATCTCTCTATATCTTATAGTAATATTCTTTCTCTATATAATAGCAAAATCTAAAAACTTTTAATAATTCAAATTAAAAGAAATTTAAAAATTTATATATTTAATTCCCCGCATAAAAGTAGAGCGGAGATTATTTTAGCGATTTTATAAAATCTTAAAAAACGAGTAGCGGGTCAGGCTCTTCCTCGCTCTTATTAGGGCGATATTCTAGATATCGCGAAAGTGCGGAGAAGTAGAGTAGTTATCGTGACTTTAATAGTATCTTATATACTATTAGCAATATCAATATCTTCTCTATACTACTTTTAAATCTAATATTTAATATCTTACTTCTAATACGATAATAGCGATTAACTATAAGGTTATCGATATCTCGAAATATCTAGATAATATAAATGCCTAGTAATACTATACTCTAATCGAGTTATAGAGTTAATAATAATATATAAATCTAAGCGAGGCTAAAAATAGGCTCAAATTAAAATAGATATAAGTGATTCACTATTTATTTAACGGTAAAGACGTTATTTTAATAGTAAGAACGGGCTTTAAAAAAAGTCTTATCTTTTACTCTCTATCTCTATTAAAATTAAACGATATAGCGATAATTATCTATTTACTTAATACCCTACAATTAAATTAATAAAGAAAAATTAATATACTACTTAATATTAGAGCTTTTATTCTAAACGATAAGAGTAATAATAAGAATAATCTATATAATATTATTAAAGAGTTCTATATATATATAACTTATTAGCCTAAAATCTTTATAAGTAATAATATATTCAAAATTATTATAATAGAGAATATCGATTTTATCTCGCGATTTAATCTTATTACTATTAATAAGATATATATAATTCATTAATAAGACGATAACTTTTATTCTAAATATAGTTAGCTTTATAATATAAAAGTATTAACTTTAAATATATCTTAATTTAAAATCTCGACGACGTTAGATAATTAATTATTAAATATCTATTAACGTCTAATTAATTTCGAAGATAGTAAACTTATTAAGATTATAAAGATTTCTATTAATTATAAGAATATTATACTTAATATTAAGACTCTACAAAAATTAAAGAGTTTTTTTAAAAATCTTTATTTCTTAATATAAAGATCGGTTTATATATTTAATAAGACTATTATTTATATTAATATTATTTATCTTAGCTATAAAATTATTAACTAATTAATTTAATAATATATAAATATAGATTAAATAGTAAAAGAGATAAAAAGACTCTTTCGGGCTTATAATAGCGAAATAAATAAAAAGAAACTAAAAATTATAGCTATCGAATTTAAGATATTAATCTTTAAAGTTTAATTTCTTATTACTATCGACGCTTTTAAAATAGATATTAATAATTTAAATATATATCTCGTTATATAATGACTATTATCTAGAAGTATCTATTTTCTATTAAGTATATAATAATAAGCTAGCTATATAATTTATATATTAAATATATATAATAATTTCGTCTAATTCGTCGAGAAGAATTTAATTAGCCTACTATTTATAGACTTAACTATCTCTTTAATAAATAAATAAAAAATAAATACTAAATAGCTTATAAGAATATTAAGAAAATAATATATTATTATTAATTAATCTCAATCTAAGTATATTCGAGAGGCCTTTCTAGAATATTTCGACGAGACTAAATTAATAACAACGATCTATTCTATCGAGTACTATAATCACTATAAGAACATTATCTTTATAAGAACTCTAGCCGTATAGTCTAAAGAAAGAGTTATATATTATATACTATTCGCGAGATTAGACGATATACAAAAAAAGGTTATTTATATAAGATTAGACGAAATATATAAAATTATATTATAAGATTAATATCGGCGATATTATTAAGACGAATATCTTTTTAAATAAAAAGATTATAAAGAAATGAGCTAATAAGACCGACTCTATTCTTACTATAGAAGATTTCATAGATCTATATACTAAGTGAGATTCTTATTAGAAAGACAGTATAAATATAAGCTATATAGAATTATTAGATATTAGTCTAAAGGGATTATTATTATTAATAATAAATATAATATCGACATAGTAAAGAGAAGAGAGTAAATTAAGATCGTTAAAATATATATTACTATAGTTATAACTAAAGAGAAGAGAATTAAATAGAATAAAACGAATTTAGTAAGAGAGAAGATAAGGGTTATAAAAGAAAATAAGAGAATATATATAAGGGAAATAAAAGAATAAGAGAATAGATTAAATGAGACTAACTTAGCTATAAAGAAGCTAAAAACCATCTAAAAGAAAAAAGATTCTTTAGCTAGAATTATATTAATTATAAAAAAATAAAAGTAAAAGAGAGTAGATCTTTATTAATTAATATTTTAATAAATAGATAAAGAATTAATAGAAGAAAAGATAAAGACGCTATATATTAAGAGCTTTAGAAGTTAGACGAATAGCTTAAATATAGCTAAAATAATAATATTTTAAAATTAGAACTAATATAAAGAGATATTAATATAAAAGTAGAAAATAAGAATTTAGCTATAGCGAAATCCTAATATTATTTCTTTATAAAGATCTATAATACTTATTTATTAATTATTTAAACTATTATAAAGATTATTAATACTTTAAATACTATTCTTTCAAGCGTGTTAAAGTTCACCACCCTCTTAATTAAATAATTATAAAGTTATTTAATAATTTATATTTTTAAATATAGGCGAAAAAGAAATCTTCTAATAAGATTCTTCGATAACGACGACAATAGCGATATTATCTTTTTTAGATACGCTATAACTCTTATTATTAATATAATATTATAATATTATAAGACTTTAATTTTAAAGAAGATTAAAAAAGAGTTAAATAAATAATAATTAGATAGATAATTTACTATCTAATAACTATTTAAAATTATATTTCTAGATAAAAAAGAAATTATTAAATAATGCGATTTAATTAATTTAGATATTTTTAAGCCGCAGATACTAAATTCTAAATCGACGTCGTAAGAGCTTCTAATAAATTTTATATATCTTTCTTTATAAATCGCTATATATAAGAAATTATTAGATAATTTAAATAGCGATAATAAGATTTAATAATAATATAATATAGCTTTAAAAGTAGTTCTTAGATATATTAATAAGGGACGTATACTTAATAGATTTTCTAAAGTATTACTATTAATTAGTAAGGGCCTAAGCGATCGAATATTAACAGCTAAAAAAATAAGATTATAGCGTATCTTATAAACTTCGAAATAGACTTTAGATAAAGTCTATTCATTTAAAAAACGACGTCTATTTATTATATACATTTAAATAAAAATCTTTCGTATTATTACTATTACTTATATCATCTAACTTTTAATTTAGCTCTCTTCTTTCTTCTAATAAGACCTTATCCGCAAGTAAATTATTAAATAACTACTTATTATATATATTAACGATCTTAAATATACTCGCTACGCCGTCGAAGAATAGATCTAATATTACTTTTATATTAAATTAATTATTATCTTATCGTATAAAGTTTACTTATAACTCTCTAGTATATCGAAATAAGTCGATAGCGGGATTCTTTATCGAGTAATAGCTATTCTAATAAATCTTAA